TGTCTCATTCAACGCAGGTGGCATTATTCCTGAATCAAGACATTCAATAACAAAACTCTAGAAATCTTGACCTACCACATCCCAGAAATGCTGATAAAAGCCTGGATTCATACCATCAGGCCCAGGTGCCTTATCAGGGAACATAGAGAAAAGGGCCTGCTTGACTTCCTCCACCGTAAAGGGTTGAAGGAGTAAATCATTCTGTGCTTGTGAGACTTTTGGTATAACATTTCAAAAAATACTATGACCATCAGGGGGATTACTAGAGCAGAAAATATTAGCAAAATAATCCAGGATAATATTTTTCATAGCCTCTCCCTCCACCCAGTCCCCATTATCATTGGAAATTCTTAAAAGAGTGTTTTTCTTTTTGCGATGAGAGGCATACCTGTGGTAGTATTTTGTATTGGCATCTGCACCTTGTAGCCAGTGCTGCTTAGCTCTCTGTCTCCAGTATGCATCCTCCTGGTTCTCAATGCATTGTAACTCTTCCTCTAAACGCTGAAATTCAGCCAAAGATGCTGAGTCCGTCCGGCCTCTTAACCGCAATTGATCATTCTTTAATTGCAGTATTCCCTCACCAAACTTATGATACTGGTCACCCCCAACAAGATAATCTTTCTCCACATCGCATAACACGTTCCTAAAAGTCACCACCCATGCCCTCGTTCCATGAAGTTTCCACAACAGACCTGCACCCCTGATCATATAACCAGGCCATCTCAAACCGAAAACGTTTCTTATATGGTCCCCTTATACCCATTGGATCATGAATACCAAGGAACAAAGCTAAATGATCTGATTTTCGCGTTAAAATATTAGTGACTCTTGCTCCTGGAACAATGTTACTCCAGGTACTCGTGGTTAACACCTTATCCAGCCTCTCCTCTATCCACCGATCCGTGCCCTTCCCCTTCTCCCATGTATACTGATATCCTTCCATTGGCAACTGGGACAGCCCACAGTGCTCAATAGCTTCCCCAAAGCCCCGCAACAGCCTATTCGGGTGTGGATTTCCCCTTTTCTTCTCATGCTGATATAAAAGATCATTGAAATCACCAAGCATAACCCATGGTAGGTCAGACTTGGGCGCAAGAGACTTAATGAGATCCCACACTTCAGTGCGTCAGTGACGTTCGGGGTAGCCATAATAACATGTGAGCCTCCACTTTGGAAAGCCCGTCATACTAACTTCTATGTCAATGTGATTAGCGGAATAACATATAAGTCTTGCTGTATTATTCCTTCTCCATAACAATGCCAGTCCACCACTCAAGCCATCATTATCAACAAAAAATAAGCCTTCAAAACCAATCTTAACACGTACACGTTCCGCATGATCTCGACCTACCTTGGTTTCCATTAGGTAGACGAAATTGGGCTTTTTCCGGGACACCATGTCCACCAACTCACGAACTGTGCGTGGGTTGCCCAAACCACGGCAGTTCCATCTTAGGGTATACTCATTGGATCGGGCGGGTCTGGGAACCAAGACCCGCCATGTGCAAGTTTTTTGAACCACTGTTTTCCTCCATTCCACCATCCACCACCGGGGCCGACTCACTCAGCCCCCCAACTACCGCCCTCCGTCTTTTGGAAGAGGCCGTGATACCCTCATCCGCCCCCTCCCTCATAGGTGCCATAACCACGTCTGCCCCATCGTCATTATCCGGTGCCAGAACCGGGTTCCTATTCCGCCGTGAGGTTTCATTAGCGGCTCCCAACGATGGAAGTAACCAAGACTCCCCCACCGATCTCGGACCCCTGGTATGTCCCGCTCTCATCCATGCCCCATACGGGTAAAACTCCGGTTTGATATTGGAAACCCGTGCCTTTGCACAGAAGCTGTCAAGATGTCCTAGCAAACCACAACAAAAACAGAAGTTATGTAACCGTTCGTACTTCAGATTCACCCAACCCCAAGACTTATCCGGGCGTATCAGTTTCATTCGGCGCTTTTAACGGTTTGTCCATCGGTACCGAAACACGCACTCTGTAGAACGTCTTCCATGGGCCACCTACTTGTCGATCATCACACCGGATAAACGACCCTACAAAATTCCCAACCTGCTCAAGAACGGCATTAGAAGTATAACCCATAGGTAGGTCATAGACTTGTATCCACATATCAACAGTATCAAGTTTGACCACCCCCGGAAGGTATCCATCACATACTCGCCTACATACCAGTGTATGGTTCTCAAAGGACCACGGACCCTTCTCCAACACCCGCACCATATCCATTTCATGATAGAAAGCTAAAAGAAACAATCTATTATGCAATACCGTCACACGCATCCCGAATACAGGCTGCCATGCAGAAGCCATTACCTGACGCATATATTCCACCTTGATTAGCTTCTGTGTCAAGAAACGCCCAACAACACAGTACATGGGCGCCTCCATCCCAGTCGGAACCTGCTCCGGTACGTCGGCCTCCACGCCACCTTCTTCATCCTCCAACACCATATCTCCCCATCGTTCGATCAAGTCATCCATCCTTCCGTCGCCGTGCTGCTGTGTTTCCGTTGCCATGCTCTTAGCCGGTGATCGTGCACCGTTTGTCGTCCGTAGCAAGTAAACCCTAGCGGGAGGAAGAAAAGAAAAAACCCTAGAGAGGGAGAGAATTTTTTTCAGAATGGGAAGACTCCTACTTATCTTTTGCTTATTACATGAGCTATTTCAAACTTAGATGGTAATTACAACGGAGTGTGAATACTAATACAACATGCAAATAGAAATGTATAATATGTAGCCATTTTTAGCAGAGCTTATTTAGGATCTTATAACTTATTTTAACCTATTAATAAGATATAAGCTTTGATTGATAATGTTCCCAAATTAAGCTAGTACCTTAAAATAAGAGCTTATTTTGAAACTCTATCTAAGGTAGCGTTTAAAAAATAAGCTAGTAGCTTCCTAGTTTTTTTTTTTTTTTTTTTCATCTTTATCCTTATTAATTTAAATTAATTTAAATAAATGACGTGGGGGGTGAGGTCGGTTCGGTTCTGGTGACACCTGAATTTTATTTCGGATTTCTGAAAATTTATGGTGATATTTTTTACACACGATATCCAAACCAAATTTAATTCAGATATATTCGATTCGAATGAATTATTTTGGGTTAGTTTGGATATACCCAAAATTTTATTTTTATCAATTTTAAATTTTTTAACGATTTTATTATTTTTGTATTTATATTTTTCGATTTACTATCAATCAAAAAATAAGACAAAATACTACTCCGTAATTACTAATTAAGAGACTTTTGAGAATTAATATATTATTAATTATGAAATATATTTAAAATTAAATATATAATTTATATTATTATATTTATAATAAAATTTCGGTTAATTAGGGTTTCGGTTCAAGTATGGATAAATTTTTAACACCTGATATCCGAACCAAATTTATATTCGAATATATCAAATTTTAAAATATCTGAACCGATAACTATCTGGGTTTACCCAAAATTTAAAATTCAGTTTAGGTTTCAAGTGGTAGTTCGGATAATTCAAATTACGCCCACCCCTCTACCATTCCCAATTAAAACCCTTTAGGCCTTTTCTTTTCTCCTATATTTTAATTCATCCTCGCAAACATGATGTTTAATGTGCTTGAGCATCATCCAGATTACGTACCGCACGATCAACTTCAAGATTCAAATAGTAATATCTCTATCGAGTATCGACGAAATTTAAGTGAAACCTCTATTGAGATGAAGAAGGTTCGCAATAATATTGCTACTTCATTATGAGATGCTAGATCATTATTATGCTAATAGTGTCATTTCAAAATGTTTAATTTTATTATGTAAACAAACCTATTTTTTTTCTTTGAATGCTACTGAATCTATTACATTGTAGTATCTGTTCAAACATACTTTCTCAACATTTTTTTTTCTTTGGATGCTACTGACTCTATTACATTGTAGTATCTGTTCAAACATACTTTCTCAACCTAATGAAGCACACAGTGTTCTTGGCGTAAACAAACCTATTTAAATTTAAAACTATTTAAATTTTATGAAAATGTCATTTTTAGTCTTTTTACATATATCAGTTTATCAAAAAACTAATTTTACCAAACACTTTTAGGGTCCGTTTGAAAATCCGAAAAATGACTTCTGAAAAATGTTCTCTGGAAAATAAGTCATTTTTCAAAAAATATTTTCTTTTCCGGTGTTTGGCTACACTACGGAAAACTGTCATTGTGTGTTTAGTTCATTTTTCAGAAATGAACAGGAAAATGAATAGAATTGTATACTTCAACATTTTAATTATTTGGTACTTTTGATAAAATTCTTCTATGAATAACACTAAGCCTGGAAGATAATTTTGAATATATATATATATATATATATATATATATATATATATATATATATATATAAAGTACACACGTTGTATATATATTAAGTATATATAATTGTATATAGATACTACATACATATATATATCGACAGTACGTACACACACACTGTATATATATATAGTACACACACACATACGTTGTGTATAAAGGAGAAGTAGAGGAAGTGATGTGAGGAGAAAGAGGCTAGAGGAAGAAGAGTTGGAAAATGACTAATGAATCATTTTCTCGGAGAAAGAGGCTAGAGGAAGAAGAGTTGGAAAATGACTAATGAATCAATTTCCTCCAACACATACATATTTTCCTTTGACTAATGAATCATTTTCCATAGACCTCATTTTCCAAACACAAACTCAGAAAACATTTTCCTAAAGTCATTTTCCGAATTTTCAAACGCACCCTAATCATAATCAGTTAGTTTAACCGATCTTCAGTTTTCAGCTTCTAGCTTATAACTTTCTAGCTTTCTGGTATTTTTCAGCTTTCAGCTATCTTTTCAACTAGATTTGCAAAACATAGCCATAATTTAATTGAATGTAGTGCTTACTCTAATTATCTGCGGTTTACCTACACTCCACAATCCACATTGCATTCTCTATTAGACAAAGCAAGCAATAGATCAAAAATACACAGAACAACAAAGAATTCTTGCAAAGCATTGAGGAAACTGGAAATGCAAAAGTCTTGACACAAGGAAAAAAAAAAATCCCATTAGCAAAGCACTTATTGAATCAAGCATTTACAATGCGCTAAGCCCTCCACGCAGGAGACAAATCACCACCTGAAGCTACACAATAATATCGCATGTACTAATTTACTTGCACCATTTCGTATTCTTTACATCAAGTTTATATGAGTAATTAACATATAGTCGAGTCAGAGTCCCCTGCGCCCCCTCCCTCCCTAATACTCCTAGAGAAGAAGACAAGTCTCGGGGTGCTGTTTCATCTGTTGCTTCGCTTGTTGCTGCGACCAGTAGGCGTGGGCGGTCAGGACCCTGTCTAGCAGCTCCTGGGGCACCGGCTCGCCTCTTCTTTGCTGTGGAGATATTCTTGCAGTATGCACTAATGTTTTCCATTTGTCCTATATTCATATCAACACAAACCTAATGTCACGTAATCATAATTGAAGCATGTGCTCCATCTCAACTAAAAGCCTAAACTGATAGTTGGATTGCAGCAAGGGCATAATTCAGCATTCCAGCCACATTAGAACGTTTTTATAGGGAGGAAATCTTATCAAAACCAGTTGACAAAAGTTTCGTGTAGAATATGTAAACGTGAAATGAAAATCTAATTTAGTCAGGTCAACTTATAAATGCAAGGAGAATGTAAGATGGTTTTTACCTTCAAGTCGACATAAGTTCGGTGCTTGGCGTTGTCAAAAGCCCGAAGCTTAACATCACGCCATCTGCAAAACAATATAAGCATCATGCGGATAAAATTAACACTACTAAAAAAAAGTTATGTAAAATAGCTTTATTGCAAACGAACCTTCCAGTACCAAGCTTCTCAACAGCTTGAACAAGCGCTTCCACTTCAGTAACGGAGAAAGGTCGGCGAATTCGACGTCGTGCTGCCTCAGATCGCTTTGGTTTCCGCACTGGAACTGCGGCAAATGTTTCCAGATTTACCCCTGGGGCAGCAACCAATGCTCTTGAATCTGCTGCATGTTTTTCTAACGAGACATTGGCACGGGATGGATCTAAATCATGACTACTTCCAATGAAATTGATCAAATTTGTTCCTGCTTCATCATTGAGGATATTGGCAGGTCCCGCTTGCACCACAGCATGAGCTATGCTGCGAGCAGCTGGATACCTAGTGAGAAATCATTAATGTAAAATCAGCAAAAGCTAAGATCCCAATTAATACTAAGTTAACTTTGATATTTAATGTGAAAACACTAGCATGAGGAAAATGATAGCACAAAAAGAAGCCGAGAAACTAGGAAAAAGGGATCCACATCCAAGTGTATTCCGCGGAGGCCAGGGAAGGGCCAAGTCCAGCACCAGGTGGCCAGGGGATTGTTGGGCGAAAGCCTGAAGGGCCAAGTCTAGCACCCTGCCTCTCGAAAACGTGGTGGTATAAGGAAATAAAGTTGTCTCTCGAAAATCACTACTGGAAATTATGGAATTTTCGGCCACCTGAAAGTGATCTTAAATCAAGTCGAAAGCCTTGTTCTGACCACTTTTGGTATCCGGAAAAACCTTTGTTGCTATTTCCGACCACTTTTTGCTTTCGACTTGATTTAAGATCACTTTTAGGTGGTCGGAAATTCCATAATTTCCAGCAGTGAATGTGGCGGTATATAAGGAAATAAAGTTGCGCCTTCGCTACAAGCTATAGCTTTTGGCATAGTGGTAAACGCTTGATCCTAATAACGCGAACATATCTGTATAATTAAGACCAATAGGAGATGACTAGATATGTGGGATACCTTTTTAGTGGTCTTGGTGTATCACAATAAGGTTGAGTATGGGCTTCTGAACCCAGAAGTGGGGGATCTTGAGAAGGATTGGGCTCAAGAGTGAAACCCAGAGCATCGAGCTTGTTATTGTGAGAAATTCCTGTCTGTAATAAGGTTTTCTTGTCATCTCCAACTTTCTTTCCTTGGAAAACCACACCAACACATAGCCCATCTCCAAGAATTCTGGTCACTGCCTCCATGACTGTCCTCTGAAAAGCATTATGAAAAACAATAGTCTTTAGACTTCACAGACAAAACAAAAAACGGAATTGTATAAGGGAATTAAAGTTTGCGTGCATGCCTTGAGAGAACCAATGGTTGCAGTTTCTGGAATCTCTATGAAAAGTTCAGGAACTCGGAAAGACTTAATTTTGAGCTTCACTGAGTAAAACGAAAACCATTTTTTATGTCAGAACCCCTCTGATCAACAGAAATGGACTCACTCAAACTATTTATGTATGTAAAGGAAAATTATTCCGTGAAAGGATCTCACACCATGGGGATCACCAGGCCTAAAGGATGCTTGTTCATCCACTGCAAAGGTTGATTGCCCAGTTGTTGAGTGGGCTGCCAGAATCAAATGCATGTCAATAAGAGTGATGCGAAAATGAAAACAGACCCGTGGGGGAGGTTATTTGTGAAAAACAAGAATGAACCTGTTGGTAATGTGAGACAATAACGGGAGGCATCTCCATTAGGAGTAGTACATAATCCATTGCTACTTTTCACTCCACTATAACCCCTAGCAAGTGAAGTACACATTCCATCGCTACTTTTCCCCCCATCGGAGTTTCCTACCGAGCCACAATCATAGAGCTTTCTTTTTTTGTAAGGGTAATCTCTGAGAGATCTTTGGTGCTTGAAACTGCTTTCAACATCTGTAGATATCATCGCCACTACCAGATCAATCAAATTACGCATCAAATAAACGAAAACCCTACCAAAACCAATACAATGCAATACTCACCAGCATCTAGATGTTGCTTATCACTCGATTTTGAATTCAATTCCCAATATTTAGATGCCAGTAACTTCTTCACCCTTTGATCCCTCATTCGCAGTGATGGCCTGAAGGCCTTATTAGACGTGCTACGTAACGGGTTTTCGTCATCATCTCTACTACCTAACTTTACATCGTCCCTATTTGCAGGAGGCAAGGACCCACAAGGGACGTGGTTCCTTGATAAAGTTAACTCTACACTATTGTCTGAACAAACTAAAGTTGACGTTTTTTTCCTATCCCCAAGGACCGGAAACTCTGAACTGCAGATGCCATCCTTACTATCGGTTGCAACCTTGACATTATCAGACACCCGATTGCCTCCTGATTTACAGCTAGAGAAGACTTCGCCATTACCCAATTGCTCCACTAAAGCAATCGTATCTGAGAAATCACAAGTGGTTATAACAGATGAAGGTCCAGACAATATACCATTTCGGGAACGTGGGAGTTCACTCGAACAGTTATTTAACACGGGGGCCTGTGAAACGAGCTCAGAAATAAAGAAACCCCGTTCTTTACTTCCTCGATTGCAAGATCTTTCTAGCATCGTTCCTTCTTCATTCTGTTTTTCCTTCTTGATATTAACTTTCTCAAGTGAAGTATTGTCTTTCGAACTAGAAGAGCTTTCCCCCTCCAGCAGTAACTTGCCAGCTACACTAGCTAATAATTCAAATGCACACATCTGATTGTCACCGCCTTTCCTCCAAATAACGCTTCTCCGCTAAAAGAGAAACGATAATAAGGACACTGTCCCAAAAGCATCTGCATAAAAATGCATAAAATTCAATTCTTCTAATCCATAATGCGGATCGACTTACCCTCGCTGATCTGGTAGCTCGTGGTATTGGTGGCACCTGATAGCCATTAAATCCGTAATCCAATCTCTTTTGCAACACCATATCTCAAAGGCATGCCAAGAACTCAAAACACACAGAACACTATCATTATTTTTATTTTTTTTTGTTTTTTAAATCAAATTTACTGCCACAGATTCACTAATCATCTTCCAAAAGCCCAAAGGACAAAGAAACCCTGCATTCTGCAATCAAGACAAAGAAAAGGTTTAGAAGTTAAATTACAACAGGATTATAAGACGATTTTGTATCAAGATAGAATATATTATTGATGAAAACTTTTCATAAGAACCTTTTATACAGTAAATTCAGAAGAATGAGAAGGATTTGATTTGTTTGAATATGATCTTTCATCAAAATATTTTGAAAACAATTCAGTCAGCTCTGCAGATATACTATATAGTTAACACATCTAAAGGGAATCCCTAAAATAGAAATTTTTTAAAACAATAATATAATGAGAAAATTCAAAGAAACCATCTATATCCGAGTGTGAGGAAATTGAGAAAAACCAATTTAATCATTCTAAGGATTTCTCTCAAGATTCTTCATTTATTATCAAAAACACCTTTTTATAATATCATGGAAATCGAAAATGGCTATACCCAAGGATAGAGAAAAAAAAACCCTTCATAAACCCTGAGAAAACAATTTTGGAAAGATAACATCAGGGAAGAAAAGGAAAATAATAATCCCTTGGTATAATCAAATAGCCCTTGGATGTCTCAAACCCAGGAAGGAGATCAACCAACACAAACTTAGAAACATTCATTAGATTCTATATGAACTAGTGGATCTAAAGGAAAATGCAAAAATCTGAAAGGGGATAAACATCACTTTTGGACCTCTCAAAACTTATAAAAACAACAAAACCCAGATCGAAAAAATGAAAATCCAAAACTGAATTGCAGCAAGATTTCCCAGTTCATATCAGAAAACGATATTTGGAACAAAAATGTCAAAATTCTTGGCAGCAGAAAACAAAAATAGAAAGAAAAAAAAAATTGAAATTTTCACTTGGACTCTTCACCAAAATAAATCACATTTGATTAAAAAAGAAAAAAAAAATGAACCAAAGCGGCAAAGATTTGAACTTGATCAAGATAGAGCAACAAACAAGTCAGAAATGATCATCTCACCTGCAAGCAACCGACTTTTCGTCAAAATTCATGAGAATTCTCCCTAAAAACCCATGCTTTGAAGAAGCAAAGCAAAAGCTTACACAATTGAACACCAACAATGCAAGATCGGAAGTGGGCGGAAAATTTGAAACTCAGAAATCTAATAATCTAGGAAAGAAAAAACAAAAACCCAGACAGAGTTTTCGTGGATCACGTAAACAGAAACAGCCCCTATCCTATCCCATGGTTTTCTCGCTCTGCCTTCCTCAAGACCCAAACATTTTCCGACACGCAACCGTAGTTTTATAGTTTTTTTCTTTCTCCTTCTCTCTGCAAAAACCCTCTGAAAACCATCCTATCTGTGGCTTAAAGCCTTAAACCCCAGTTCTTATACAATTGACCCCCAGTCGCTAAAATCTTGTTAGAAGACGGGTACAGAGCGTTGCTTACAGAGACCATCAAACAACCTAAAGACCGGTTCGTCGCCATGAATGGCCCACACTCTCCCTGCCAGGTTGGCTCTGGATGCTGCCACGTGGAGGGATATACGGATCGGGTGGTCACCGCCTGGTTTTGCACGATCGAGAAAAACGTTGGGTCACGAAACAGGGAAATTTCCTTTATTTTATCCTACAATTTTCTTTCCCATGTTAATTACGGAGTATTTATTTGTCGGAAAACTTTTTATTTGATTTTTTGTTATTATTAATTTTTTTTTTTTAACTCTATTTTCCAACCTACTTTCGCTTATAATAAAAATCTTTATATTATTTAACAAAAAGTTTGAATCCAAACTTTGAGAATACAATCTTAAAGGGTGTTTAGTAGTAAGGAAATGTTGAATTTTACTAGGAATTTAAAAGGTGAAAAAGTTACTCACACGGTACAATTTTTGATTTGGTAAAGTTTGAATGAATGACAATCACATTTTATGATATTAAGAAAAGTAAATTATCTCAAAACTTAGCATAGTTGGTTCGTCGCGCTCACTTAACGTAGGAAAAAGACCTAAGGATGATGGAAGATTTAGGGGTCGTTTCCTTCGTTTCTCTGTTTTTCCTTTTTCAATTTTCCATTTCTCCATTTTTCCAATTTTCCATCTCTATTTTTCCAGTTTTCTATTTCTCCAATTTTCTGATTCCATTTTACAAATTTCATAATATGGAGCACAAGTAATAATAATAATAATAATAATAATAATAATAATTTATTTTACAAATTTATTTTTTGAATAAAAAAAAATCAATACACTAATACTAAATGTACAAAAGATAACAAAAGTTGATAAAAACATATTTCTAGATAACTAAAACTATTTCAATCATTTTAGTACATAATTTTAGTACATAAATAATAATAATACTAATAATAATCAAAATAATAATAATAATAATAATAATAATAATAATAATAATAATAATAATAATAGTAATTAAATGGGAAAACGCTAAAGATATAATAATAATAATAATAATAATAATAATAATAATTTTGAATGTGAAAAAGCACAAAATGGGAAGTAAAAACTGTAATGATAATAATAATACGTAATAATAGTAATTGAAACCAAAATGGTAAATAATAATAATAATAAATAAATAAATGGCGGCTGTGCGCAGGGGAAGAGGAAGGGAAGTAAAAAATGGGAAAGGCGTGCATACTTAATAATAAGCAATATATACACTAATGTGTTGCTATTCGGAATCGATCCATAGACCCCAAGAAATAGCACTGTTCACGCGCGCGGCTCTCTCCATTCTTCCATTTGGAGAACTTTGTTTATCTATTCTCCAAATATAGTGAAAAAGTGGAGAATGGAGATAGAATGTGAATTTGGAAAAAGGATTTTAGTAAACAAGTTTTCCATTCTCCATTCTTCTACTTCTCCAATTCTCCAATTTTTTGGAAAATTCTCCATTTTTCCAAGTTAGTAAACGACCCCTTAGATTCCACTGAAAACATGTATGGGCAAAAGACTCAAGGATGATGAAAGGTCAAGATTGAATTCATATTTGTGCGCTCTTGTGCGCACAGACTATGATATGACCAGTGGGTTGATTGCGCGACTCGCGATTTACATCTATAGTGACTCTAGGGGCGGAGTTCTATGGGCTTATGATTAATCCGACAAAGCTGGGATCACCTAAGTTTAAAAATAAAAATAAAAATAAAAATAAAAATAAAAAAAACAAGTAAATCCCACCTAAGAGAGGGAGGTTTTTTTTTTTTTTCGAGTGACTGAAAATCTACCAAATTTATTCAATCACACATATATATATATATATATATATATATATATATATATATATATATATATATATATATATATATATATATATATATACTTTTTTAATGTCAATTAAAAGTCTCTTATAAATATATTTTTTAGAAAAGAATTATCTCTCCCATCCGTGCACATTATTTATATGATTCATTATACAACGATGCAATACGTGTGTGTGGATTCATTTTTTTTTTTTTTTGAGTACTATTGACTCTGCTACAATGTAATATCTGTTCATAGCTACTTTCTCAACCTACTGAAGCACAATGTGTATTCATTTATATATGTAGTACTTTATATATAACTTGATTAACTTGAGTTTAATTTTGGTTACTTAATTAATTTGATGATGACTTGATGATTTTTTTATTTTTCTTTTACATATGGTTTATTAATTTATAAGTGATTTATTAAACTCTCGATTATTTGTTATGTTTTTTTTTTTATAAATGTTGTATATTGCAAGGATAACTTAGAGATCAAATTATAAAAATTTTATTGAGAAAGTTTAAACGAACCAGACATGTTAAATTAATTTTTCAAGTAATTTAATTGTTATGTTTCTAAAGTAACACCAAACATGTTAATTAATTTTTCTCAAGTTATTCATATCAAACATATTTTTTGAAAACATTTTTTTGAGAATTTAATTGATGAGAAAATACTGAACCGCCTCTAAAACTTATGAAGAAGTGTTTTACTACTTTTGAGGTCCTACCCAACGTGAATACAATTATAAGTCTCATGTGTGATCCTATATGAGAACATGCTCTCAAATAAAAAAGTAAGGACTTGTATGATTCATCCATTTAGATAGATCAACAGTTGAGTATTACTGAAAAATAAGAGGAAAAAAATAATTGTGTTAATTTTATAAATATTACAAATTTAAAATTTTTCAATAATTATAAATTTAACTCGTATATAACTCTTAAATACTAATTTCTATATCACACAAATTTAGGTGTGAAATGAATCTGTATAATATAATACTCCATCTATCCTATGACATGTTTATTATTTATTGGTAAAATTAATTATTTTTGTATTAATTTTTTTTTAATATTTTTAAATTATTTTTAAATTTGATTTTTTGTGTTTAATTATACTTTTATGTAATTTATAAATATATAAATTATATTTTATATACTAAAATTAAACTTAATATTATGAAAAAATTGAATTAAAAATAACTTCAATCAAATCCCGTTAACCAAACTAGACACATAAAATAAGACGATAAATGAAAATTGATATTTTTCTATGGATCAATAAGTATTACATTTTCACTGAAAAATATGTAACAAATACTATTTGTGTGAATAATTTATATTTATTTGTTACTTATACACTAAATCATCTCAAATTAGATGAAAATGACAACATTTTTATACAATTTTAAAAAAATAGAATTACCATAGTTTGATGTCTTCAACTAATTTTCAACAACAAACAAAACACACAAGCCAAAATAAGAGGTGAATTAATTCAAAGATGACAATGCAATATGGACCCAAGTGTTTTGGCAATAAGCAATTTGATGTGACTTTGTTTTAATTAATTTATCCAAAGATGTTTTGGTACTATATTATCTAACGTGACTTAGTTTATTTAAATAATTTATTAAAAATTAAAATAGGTTAAAATAATAGCTAATGAATATTTTGACGAGAAATATGTATGTCAATTTGTATAAAAATTTGATTTGAATAATATTTGGTTTAATTTAAAAATATGGTTCAAAAGATAGGAAGTTTTGTTACATAAAAGAGAGCATTTCTTTGAATAAGTATTTGCTTTAATTTCCGGTTAACGCAAATTTGATGCATGCAATTAAGTAATTGCTCATATCCTTTGAATGAACAATATTATCTATAATTCTAACATTTGTTATTATATGAGTCTTGGATACACTTACACTTCTCTCAACATTTTATATTTAAAAATTACTTACAATAATGTAAAGCATTAAAAAAGAAACGCATTATACATGAACATATATCACATGACCTACTAACATAATTTCATTGATTAGCAAGAAGTTTGCATGTTGTGTGTAGCTCAATTGGTCACAGGAGTAATGTTTGAGAACAATAATTCGGGATCGAATTTAATTAACCACACTGTGGGAGCAATCTCATGTATTTAGCTTAGTTACCATAATTTATATCCCAACGTTTTTATTTTAACAAATACAAACCAAAGAGGGAAAAAATTTGATTTATCTTTTAAAACCAATTATCAAGTAATACATTAAAAACTATAAAATAAGGTATAGCCTCTGTATTCAGTTGAGTTACCATAATTTACATTCTCCCATATGCTCTATTGGACTAAGGCGTGTGGATCCTTAGATTGGGGATTCAACATTCTGGGAGGGAACAACAATTGATTAGCAAGAAGGAATGTTTTTTTTTTTTTTTTTTTTTTTAACAAATACAAACCAAAGAGATAGAAAAAAATTGATTTATCCTTTAAAACCAATTATCAATTAATACATTAAAAACTATAAATAAAATGAAAGTAAGCATAATAGATTTTCAATTCTTGTAATTTTTCAATTACTATTAAGGGTGTTTTTGGTTTGAACATTGGATTCAGAATCAAAATTAGAAGCAAATACTTGATAAATATAATGAGTTTTGGTGAAAATATTCTTTTGATGAAACTCTAATAATGTGTTAATACACACCGATGTTGTGTTGTAACTAGTACAAACCCACAACCATGATTAGTTGTACTAAATATCAAATATAAGTGTTGTTACAACCCGCTATACACGCATAATTACACTATATACAACATGATACTAGTGTCATTTGCCATCAAAATTCATAAATAAATAAATACTATCTTCATTGGACAAATGATGAAGTAAGTTGGATGGGGTGTGGGTGGGGGTTTCTAAAGCCTAAGATCATGTGGTTCTAGATCTACCTCCATTCATTGTCTCACTATCCTTTAGTATTATTAGTTTATTATTAGTATTGTATTCGTGCGATGCACGGATATAACTTATGTTAAGTAATGTTACTTAAATATCTCTATCTCTATACCTCTATCTTTATCTCTATCGCTATATATATATATATATATATATATATATATATATATATATATAAGTAAAATGATAGCTAAAAAAATTTTCTCCAAAGTATGAAAGCATTTATTGTATATATATATATCTATTTATCTAGAGATGATGATGATAATTATTATTATTATTATTATTATTATTATTATTAATGTCGTCTTTCCCCTTACAAGATGTCAAGATGTGTGGCATTGAGGCAAATTGGATGAGATCTGATAGTAACAATAGTGACGT